ATTATACATATCATACACTAGAGGGCAGCATTGAACTATATTTATTTCTATTCTTAAATGAGGATATCATTACCGGTCTACTTCGGGTCTTTGCAATTCCTAATGTTTATTGTATAAACATTTAGGTGTTAGTTAATATTCATTACCACTATTCGATTAAACAGGTGTAAATAGTGCTAAGTTATTTAGGTCTACTAATGCATCTTTTCTTTATTTATCAGAGAATACAAATGAATCCCACACTTTTTTCTCTCTGAGCTATCTCTGATTATTATTTCTTTTAATAAGCTTGGCAGTTTATAGAGAATCTCTTAAGGCTCAAAATGTGTGTGTGGGTGTTTTATGCTATAAATAACTAAGGCCTATAGGTTACCATGGCAATACATCCTCAGGACCAACACCAACAGAAACGATGGGAAAAGCATTTACATTTACAGACTATACTCTTATTAAATACAGTTTTTCTCAATTGAAATTTGTTATTTTTAAAACAATAACTTTAGATATCTGAACAGTTAGATTATAGTTTACATCAGTATGGCATTTTTATTATAGTTTTAAGCAAATTGCAAATGCTTTGGAGCATGTGTGCAAACAGTAAGCACAATTTTCTGTAGTTTGGAGAAAAAAAAATTGCATATGGCTTGTTGATTATAACTGATAAGTCGATTTTCATTTAAACTTTATTCATTCATTTATTCATTTTCTTTTCGGCTTAGTCCCTTTATTAGTTTTTCTCTATTGGTTTGGCTCATTACATGGAATTACAGGAATTACATTCTCAAAACAACATGGACAAACTTCCAAACCACTCGGCAATTGTTCACAACAGACTTGATTTTCTCATTCATTTTATCAAATTGCAAATGTCTAAGTACATCTTTGCAAATGATTAAGTACAGGTAGCCGACATTTAGCACAATTTCCAAGTGAATAGATCTAGTTGATCTAAACTGATTGTTGATTTTCAGTTTAATGGTTGTTCTCTCCAAAATATGTCAGCGTCATTTTCTTGTATATGTCATTACATGCACAATAGTCTGTTCAATTGTCAAAATTAGTCAAGAACACAAAAAGTTATTCATGGTATTGTTTGTGTTTTATATTACAGTATATTTTGTTTTATCAAATCAAATCACTTTTATTGTCACAGCAGCACAAGTGCTGTGATGAGTGAAAAGCTAAGGTGCTGGCTCCAGACAGTGCAAAATACAGACAGTGCAAAATACAACAACATACAACAGCATACTCCCAAAAAAACAGGACAATGTAAAATTGGCAATGTTGATAGCAATATTTACAATGAAAAGGTGTCCACATAATTGTAGGCAGTATTGATTTAAGTATGGATTGGTTAAAGTGCAGTGCATGTTACATATTGATGGTGTGCAGTGAGGGTATAGAAGAGTTTGTGTGGGGTGTGTTAAGTGTTCATCAGCCTGATAGTCTGAAGGAATATACTTTCCTTCAGTCAGCTGGTGCGTGACTGGATGCTGCGGAACCATTTGCCTGAGGGTAGCAGAGAGAAAAGTCTATGGCTTGAGTGGCTGGAGTCGCTGATGATTCTCTTGGCTCTCTCTTGGCTTTCCTTTCCTTTTTTTTACCTGGTGTAGATGTCCTGGAGGGAAGCTCACCACCTACTACGCGTCCAGCACTTCGCACAATCCTATGTAGGTCTTTGCGATTGCTGCTGGTACTGTTTCCATACCAGGTTGTGATACAGCCAGTCAGGATGCTCTCCACAGTGCAGGTGTAGAGGATGAGGGGGCTTTGTTCTGATGTATGGAAATTACTTTATGTGTGTGATTGATAATGGTTACAATTTCCTTGGCGGTATAAGTGCAATGTGTGAAGTCAAATCTAAGAGGCTACTCTTAAACTAAAATCCTTTTTATAAATTTTATACATTTATTTTATTTAGTTTTATACACAATTGCATTTTGTCAAAAGATTAAAAAGAAACAGGGCTAAAACTGAAAGGTGGACATGAGGGATATTTTAATGGTCCTCTGCGATAGTGACAAAACAACTAAACATTTTGACAGTGCTTACGCAATGCCAAAGGGGCAAAAGATTTTTGGGGTGCTGACAGTCTAAATTAAAAAGAAATTTAGTTTTGACACACGAGTGAAAATTTTTGGGAAAGATATGGGCTTTTGCAAGTGAGCTAGTGTTGTGCTAAACTGTAAGAATGTTTTGCAAAATAATCTTAGAGTGTTGAGAATGCAATTGCTGTTTCAAGAAATGAACCAAACCAAATGAGAGAGACTGTAATCCGGGGTCGCCACAGAGTAATGATCTGCCCATTTAAACTGTAAAACTCTAAATATGCTACCGACCTTGACTGATAAATAGATGACACAAATTGTATTGCAACTATAGATAATTTAACAATTTAGCAGATATTTCAATCAATGTCAATATCAGATATTTGTTGTGTAAACGTGCTTATACTCATGTTTGATTATTGAATAAATTGCTTTGAGTGTGATGGCTTTATTGATGGAAAATGATGGCGAAGATGTGAAGTGTTTGACAGTTTAAATGAGAATTGACTCCTCAGTTTTTATCAACAAGTCATATGTAACTATTTTTTGTCCAAACTACAGACAAATTTACTTACTGTCTGCACATATGTGCCAAAGCATTTGCAATATGCTTAAATCAATAAGAAATGCTACTCTAAAGTAAACAATCAGCTAATCATTCAGAGATCTAAACTTATTGTTTTAAAACATACAAATTTCAATCGAGAATTGAGCCAAAACAACTGAGAAAAACTGTGATATTCTCTTCTCACACATTGTTTTTCCACCTAGTATGGCAAAAGGCACATTGCAGGGCAAATAATTTTCTACTGGAAAATATTGTCTGTTTATTCAGTATAAAATAATAAAATATTATAAAATAAATAAAATATCAGTTTTTTATATAAAAATGAAATTAATCTTTATATATATTCAATAACATTTACAGAATTAAATAAGAGAAGTAAAGATAATAAAGATTGAATAATGGGTTCAGAAATCTGTGTGCCTAGTCAATGGTATGGCCAGATTGTGGTCCACTCCCATTATCAATTGTACACTAATTATTAATGAACTAATAGCTAAGTATTGATTCATTCATTTTCGGCTTAGTCCCTTTATTAATCTGGGATCGCCACAGAAGAATAAATGGGCAACTTATCCAGCATATGTTTTACGCAACGAATGCCCTTTTAGCTGCAACCCATCACTGAGAATAGCTAAGTATTGTTTAATTAAATATTTTATGGCAAATCATTAATTGACAAGCAATATTTATGATTGTGCGGTTGACTTTATTTTAATCATGTAATTTCCCAAAATGATAATAAGAGTGACCTTAAATTTATTGTTATTTATTGTGGCAGTGGCCATTTAGTACTTACACAAATTTCACCGCTACGCTGAGAGCAACTTTACTCCAGACAGTTCTTCTGTAATTTGATGTATATCTCTATAGTGGTTAAACAAGAAATATAACTTATATAACTTATTACAATAATTATTGGTTTCAAAGCAAAACTATTTGATTTAGTGAAAAATTCGGTTTTGTAAATTTATAAAAATTTTATTACATCTGATTTTATTTTACAATGCGGCCAATATTCTTTTAAATGAGCATCTTCATGTTTTCTGTCGTTGTTCACTTAATTTTAAACTTATTACTTTAATAAAAGTATTTATATTACAAACAATTGAGTGTTGCACTGTGCTGCCATGAGATGGCGACAAAGAACATCAGCTGTAAAGACATTTACTGCTGAATAGATGCATCTGTGAGCAAGATCCAGTTTTGCCATCACTTTAAGACAATAGGCCTAGTTCTAAGGTGATATTTTTGAATCACTCAGCTGTCAAACAGTTCAACTTGAGGTTTGAATCCGTGGTGGAAAGACACAAAAAGGTTGTATTCTTGTACCATATTATGCCTATGCAATCACACTCAGACCTTCATCAAAGGTACAAATCTGATCCATAAAAGCACCACTACAGTGACAATAAGACACTTTATACCTTAGCAGTGTCAAAAATGCTTACCAAATATTTATATAAAATGCCTTAAATGTTTAGTTTACAAGACCTATAGGTTTGTTTCACCGCTTGTTTTGTAATATTGAATTATTGTTCTTAATGTTTATAAGCTTTTAAACATATTTAAACGATGATTCTTGTTTTAATATAGAATTATTCATAAAATTACTTTGCCCTTCCAGTCATTTTTTTTTTATAGGTATTGTAATAAAGTTGTTCAACACTTTTGCACCTTTCATATGGGGACAATTGTTAAATTCAGTTGTACAGAAAATAAAATGTACAGAACAGCATCATCAGAGGTCGTTTCTGTACCATGTAAAGTTCAATTTTCCTCAAGGAACAAAATCCTCAAGGAACATTATTTGTACCACGGTTTCTGTGAGTGTGCAAAGTAAGTGGTCATCCAGGAACGTGGTTGAGAAACACTGCTCTATATCAACAATGCTGTAATTAACATTCACTTGTGCAGGACACATAATTCAAACTCCACATAAAGTTTTGGCGGTGTGACAATAATAGCTATTATGTAGCCTATAGTCCACCGTTCAATGTTATGTTGTATTTTTGTTTTAGAAGTCTCAAATGCGTATGTTGGTCAGTCTGTTAACACCTTTATTAGTATTTATCTATTTATTTTTTTGTTGGTTACAGGATGCGTTGTCAGTGTGCTGATGGTGTCTTTTAATATGGCGGCAACGACGTATTCTCGTCTTTTGAGAATCACACTGCAAACTCGTCTTAAATTGTCCTATATGTAAATAGATGCTATCAATCCAGAAAACAAACCCAGTTGACAAATTACACGAACTGACATCATTTTTATTTACTTGCCAAAATTTGAGATATGCTTGTAATGCGGCCACATGACGAGGATCAGTAAAAAGGGGCGGGTGCCTTTTACTTACCTCCCAATGCTGTCTGCGCTGCGCTCCGCTCGGTCACAGTGAACTTTGGCAAAGCGCTCTGTGGATGCTGACAGGAGTCGCTCCTCTCGGGCGCTGCTGGCACGCGCTGTGGATGCGAAACAACAGCAAGGTAGAATGACGCACCACAAATTAATTCGCACTTATGTAATGTGTTGCGTGGCTTAACGTTAGTTCTACAGACACAAAAATACGCATTTATAAATAACCAGATCATTTTGCCCTATCGTTTTATCGCATTCTGTTTGGTTAAATACCGGACATTACTGTTAAGAGAATCACGCCAGGAACGACACTGGATATAGGGCTTGATAGCTTAATAGTTTAATAGAAAACTCAAGGTACTGTAAACGATTTTAAAAAATAAATCCCATTTCTGTTGCAGGTGACTGTTTAAAGATGTAGACAGTACGCCACTTGGAACGGTAGGCTGCTTTAAAAACCTAACGCCAACTTGTGTGTGACATGCTGTGGATTTCCAGTGTCAGACTTCAATGAAATATGGAAGCGAAGAGGAACTTAGTTTGGGATAAACTCATTTACAATAAGATGTGACAGCTGGAAAAATGCGTAGGTTTACATGACGTTCTGAGTTTTCAAAACCAAATGTGGAAATATGTAAGGGATTTATGAGAACAAAACATCATGGCAGAACTTTATGAAAGGAGATAATCGTTATTTAGATGGACTGAAAGAGGCAGAAGGAATATGGTAAACTCATCTCCAGCGGTTGCTGCTCATGCAGAGGGAGAAGAGATCGAGGTGCTGGAGAGCACTGATGTCCTTCCTGTAGCTCCAGAGGACGTAAGTGATGTGCAGATGTGTGATTTATGCTGTTGAGAGCAACAGAATAAGAACAGAGATGGATTTTATCTCTTATGCATCATCTTTTTCTCAATTATATCTCTGCTCTTTCCTTACTTCTCCCTCTTTCTGTGTCTTCCACAAATCCTTCTCTCAGCAATGGAAGTGTCTTTTTGACAAGGTAGGAATTTGCTCTTGTTGCACATTTCAGTGTTTGCTTGTGTTTCTGCACATGTGCAGGTCATTATCTACTAACATGCCAATAACTGATTAATAGGGTTTTAGAAAATGATGTAAAAAGCCATGTGTTGGTTGCAGAATCACAGAAGCATTCGGAAGTAGTGATTGACCACCAATACTTTTTTTCAGAGACCAATATCTTTGCTTCATTACAAAATATACTTCAGGCAGTAAATGACATTTGAGTTAGAGTTAGAAGGGGTGCATGCCCGTTTGCACAAATGCACAGCTTTATTCAGTATCAATAGTGGAGTTTCATACTGAAAATGTCATGGTTACAGTTGATAGTCAGGTCCACCATTATTGCAATGGGGGATGATGCAGAGTTAGTTAATGGTTTGCTGGAAAGAAACAGAGCTGGGTGACAGACGGAGAGCGGTACCCCCTCTGCCCCTTGTTTCTTTCACTCTCAGTCTCTCTTGCTGGCTCTGCACCTGCTTAACCCTGACCCCCCACACACACTCCCCAGGGATAAAAGCAGTGACGTGAAGGATGAAGGGAGAGATGCAAATGACATGATGGGAAAGAGTGATTTTAGGGTTAACAGGGGGGCAGATATGAACAGAGAGCAAAAGCTTTAAGGTGCAGAAGGCTCGTGGCAGACCCCCTCTAGCCTTGAAGGGGGAGGAAGGGGGTTCCTTTACAAGTGAGCCTCTCACTCTGCAACATTTTGAGTCCTATAAGTGGTCTGCTGTCGGGGGTTTCATGCAGTGTTGGGGTCACTGTCCTGCAAGGTTGTAAATTGGAGGCATTGTGGGATCTAAAGACCACAATCAGACTTCACTGATTGCATGTAACAAACTAATAAAAGAGGGGGAGAGGAGGAGTTGGGCTGTTAAATGGTGGATAGTTTGAGTAAAAAAGTTACACATGAATACATTTTCATATGCAAATTCATATATTCACAGCTAATGGCTAAGCGAAAACTGTCAGCATCAGTTGATTGCTTTTTCACCCTGTGGCACAAGTGATAGCAAATGGCGTGCTTGTGTCTGACAACTTGTTAACTGACAACATCCCAAAAAAAACAAATCCATAAACATGGGCATCTGTTTAATGACTCATTGCAGATAAATAACAGTTCTCGTTCAGAAACACAGAACATTCTTTCCCCTGTTGAATTTTAGTAAAGTACAGGGAAAAAAGTTATAATTAACAAGACATTTTAGTCATATAATAAAAAATGAATGATTGTTTGTTTTTTGCTATCAATAATGAATCAAAAATAGTTTTAATTAGCTTATTCACAAATGTATAATTCATTTTTAATTCAGAATACATAGTAGAGTTTGTATCAGTAGTAGAGTTTGGTAATGCTGGTACTGTTGAGTAAATGAGTAAATTGTTGGCCTGTACTTGATTTTGTCCATCAGGAATAAATTGGATCATTGTCATTTGTTATTTACATCAATCTCTTGTGAGCACAGATACAAATTATTTATAATAAACACTGCAAAAGTGTAAACTTATTGTGCATCTCAGGTAGTGGTTCCTATCATCAATCCTTCCACCATTGTTTTTAAAGAAATCGTTTAAGTGAAAGAGTCTACACTTGAAGCCTATTGGTGTAACTGGATGAAAATCTTGCCAGGAAAAATGACATAAGTAAATAAAAGCAGAATCCTTCATTGATTTTTGGAGGACAACTTGGATTAGTTGGATAATATTTCTGACTTTGTTGCAAATGTATTTAGGCTGCGTACCTGGTTTCTTTGTGCTGGAATTATTTTCCTTCTTTGGATTTGTTGTAGCTTACAAGGGTCTTAAGAATTTTTTAGTGGGGGTACTAATAGTTTTAGTGAGTTTTTGCCTGTAATACCCCATTCCAGAGATATTTAGCTTTACAATGTCCAAAGTCCCCCAACAAAACTGCTTAAATATCTGAATGTGCACTTGTAGTATAAAGTAGATAAAAACTAAAGTTAAATCCTGCTTAGCTTTAGTATGACTACCATTTGTGAGCTGCAAAATATTAGCAGCATGCCTAAGACTTTTAATTTTAACTTTACAGCAAACGGTTAACAATGTTTTCATTTTTTGTTGTATGAGTACATTTTGTACTTGTAATGTACCTGATAATTACCTTTACATGAACTGTTGCATGTTTCATTTATTTTATTCAATATATTTAATGTATTTTCATATTGTAAATTGTAAAAATATTCTAAATGTTCATTGCTACAAAAATATAATTATTTAACTTGGTTTCAAACTTGTTTTTTTTTTAGCAGACTGTATATATATATATATATAGTCCATAACTGGCAATCAACTCCATGGTGGTGACCCTTAAAATGCTAGTACTACCTGAAATGCTTGTAAATATAGTAAATTTTTATCTCGAAACTAATACACAGTTAGGTGTTTAAGAACAATACATTCAGTTTAAGTTTTAGCGTATTTTTTTTACTAACATTTAACATATAACATTAAATGTGTAGGCTTTTTCAGTGGTATTGTTTTGAAGAGGTGGTCTAGTAGTGGGCTGTTGCTCACCACCTGCTCCTTATGTCTCATTCTACACCCTGAGGGGAAAGTATGTCGATAAAAGAGGATAAGAAAAGATGACTGGGACCATGTGCATATACGCAACCCCATGTGTCCCAGTGCCCAATTAACACATAACAATCACATACATTGTGTGTGCTCATGAGTTCTTTGTGTCTCCGTGACACTCCGTGATGAAAGTTTGCCAAATATCTCTACATGTGGCCTTGTTTCTGTTTTCAGCCACACGTTGTGAGTCATTGTCCATTCTCTCTTTCTTTCCTTTTTCAGCATACTTTCCTTGTTTCTCATTCTTTCTATCATCTTTCTTCCCAGCCCAATCTTTCTTTGACACATTGCTTCTTTAAAGAGACTGTGATAATAAAAGGAATCTCCCACGTGCGAAGCGTGAAAATATCCTGGAGTGTTAAAAACAAGGCAGTTGCTAAAAAAATATCAGTTCAGTAGTACTCTCTAAAGCAGGGGTCTCAAACTGCTGGCCTGATGGCCATTTACAGCCTGCTCTCCTCCTCCCTCTGGCCCGCAACTGATGTCAAAAATATAACAAAATTTGACCTGTTAAAGCATATATTTTTTTGAACATCTATCATTGTTGTGGTGTCGCGTCTAGCCATTTGGGGTTTTGACACGCCACCTAGTCGACATTTAAAGTACTCCGTTCAGATTAGTTTTACTTTCATTTTCTCTCAGTGTACGGTCGAGAGTAACACACGTTTTTTAACTCTGGGGCTAATTTACACTTATATGTCCGTAAGTGCTCTATTTTTACTAAAGCTTTATTTTTGTAAATATTCAGGGGTAGTTTGATTATTATCAGTTTTATACCACTTGGATTTTGTTGTACAAACACTTCTTTATGGCGCACATGTTGCTGGTGGTGTAACAAATATGATAACTTTGCTAATATTCCATTCAAATGGTCTCATTTATTAGATTTTCCGTAAATGCTTATTAAATTTATACATTAGTTCAATTGCACTGCTAGTTTATATGTACATGTTAAAGTAAATGTGAATATGTACTTACTTTTCCCTCTTTGTTGTAGTTTTACAGAAAAAAGAAAGAAATTGAGAAGAACAACTGGCAGTGAACTCACTTAAGATAACAAAATGCTTTCTGCTGTTCCTATGCTATTGGGACAATACAATTGGTTGGGAAAGAATAATAATTATTATGCCTATTATTTGTAGGATATTTTAGAGCAGTTTTAACTACCTCTTTAAAATGTACAACAAGAAACACAAAACTAGAGTCTCTGTGGAAGAATAATGCTCGGCCATGCAAACAACAGCCAAAGATATATTTCAACAGCTGATAAGTGACACAATAAACGTGCTGATATGCGTTATCGCTGGTGACAGGTAATGCTTGAAATAAAAACATCATGTCTGTTATCCTAAGATACATAGGTTACCTCAGGTTTCCACTTTTTTTCTTGTGCTTCACTGTTAAAACAGCCCTCCTATAAATTGTCAGTCACTGAAATCGCCCCCTGCCAATTTGAGTTTGAGACCCCTACTCTAAAGGGTAAACGTTGAGTGTTGTAATATCCTGTTATTCCGTTAGCTACTGTAAAAGGTTTGTCAAGTCAAGAGCAAAGAAATATTTTGTCTCTTGAGAATGAAGTTGGTCCTCTCTTTATTTTAGCCAATTTAATTTTGGGAGTGATTTTTTTGGGACCGTTTTTTTTCAGACACCTCAGTAATGTTAGGCATTTTGGCAATGGGCTCTGGCTGAACACCAGCATTCCAGTTCATCTCCAAGGTGTTCAGAAAAGTTCAGGATCAGCAAACAATGTTTATATTCAGATCTGAGCTTTGGCAGGAACTAATGAGCTTTGCTCTTCTGTGGCAAGCAGGTGTGGCTGTGCTTA